GGTATTACCCTAGACTGTAAATTACAATGGGGCCCCCATATTGCTGTTTTGGCGAGAAGACTTAGTTATGCTGCCTTTGCGGTGAGAAAGATCAGAAACTTGACTGATGTTGAAACAGCAATTTTCATAGTATTATGTCTTATGGTCTTTTACTGTGGGGCTCAGCAGTAGACATAGAATCAATTTTCATTTTACAGAAAAGAGCTGTTCGGGCAATATACGGTCTTAAACTACGTGACTCGCTTAGAGAAGTTTTAAAGAAATCAACATGACTAATTCTTCCACAATCCAAAAATGGGCGACATTCATTTGTTTTCTATTTATAATTAATGTTTGCCCTTGATATTACTCGTACAACCTTTTCCTACCATATTCGAATGTATATTATCATGTTTCCCATACGTTTTAGTGCTCGGATGTCCGTAAATTATTCCCAAGAGGGGTGATTTTCGCAAAACAATTCCAGCTTATCACATCTGGTCTGCGTCATGTCACTCTGACGTGGCAGTTCCCTGTTGGGGTATGGTAAAATGAACCCAATTACGGAGGATTAATGCTTCATTTTCCATCTTTTGTTGGATGTTGCATTATTGTGACCATTCGTATTAAACTACAATCTGTGCCCGTGACTTCGTACGCGAAAAAATAATTTGTCCCGTTTTTGCAACCTTATTCATGCATTAGTTGTTGGGTGATGGTATAATAATATATCTTATAGCCTTCCTCGAGAAATGGGCTACTTATCTAACACAAAAAGTTTTTTTCAAATTGAACCAGCAGTTTCTGAGATTAACGCGTTCAACCAAACAAAGAAACTTTTCAGCTTTATAATATTAGTAAAGACACGTAACTTTACATAATTTATATTTTTAACAAGACCTTGGTTTAGTATCAAACACGGTAATTTTGCTTGTACTTACGTTTATTCCTATTAAGTATTTATAGTAGAATTTCCTCTTCGCGCCTATTTTTCGCATATTTTACGTAGGTACTTAATACATCAAAGCATGAATCCTTATTCTCAAGTTGTGAAACTTAAAAGACACGTAGGCGGTACGGAATTGGTACCCAGAATAAGCCCTTGAGGGTTCGTTAAATACCCCTTAATCCACACAAAGGATACTGATAATGGCTTCTATTTTCGTATGATATTATGATTTTTGATGGGAGAATAATTTTAAGAAGCTTTCAGGTGCTGGAGACTTTTTGTGAAAGTTTTGATAGAAGGAACTTTATGATAGTCGATAGGTTAAAGTTCAAATATCTTGAACTCTCTTTCTCACTCAAATGACTCGGTGTTTTGGGGTTCCAGGGTTGTGCAAAATGTCTGTATTTTATTTACAGTTTTCCTAAGAAATTACCCTTATAATACTTTTCTAATTTTTTTTTTCAAAATCAAAACCTTTGAAGTCCAAATTAAATTATAAAATAAATAATAAATAACTTTATTGTGTCTTTAACAATGCTCATGGTGTCTTAACGAAAAAATTACATTTAACAATAGGAGCTGTATTAAGGTAGGGATCATTAACGTCTATGCTAGTTACATTTAAACTGTAAATTTTTTTTTCATATTCGTTTCAGCCAAATGACGTCTACTGCTGGACAAAAACGTTCCCCCATTCATAATGTTTGTAGGTACCTACTTACTACAACAAAGTTTTAAGGCAATATAAAATGCGATATTAACAATCAAAGAAAGTGTCATTTAACATTTTATATTACGTTTTATCATGTTACAAATCTGAACCCACCTTAACATTCAGTGTATTAGGGCAACCTCTTTATACAGGGTTTAATCTTAATATTTTTTTACACATGAATGAACATCTTTCGCACAGTAAAGCTATAAAAGGAACCGATATAATTTTCTCCTTTTACCGATATATCACATGACCCTACCCGGATATCCGGATAACCGAATACCCGGATAACCGTAGATAAAATCGCACATCTTTCAGTTTAATAATCTCTCCTTTAATTAAATGAGATATATTTAGGGTTTCCGTAATTGAGTTCCACGGTATTGAATATGCGATCGAAGATTCAATATGTACAAGTACAATATACAGTCAACGTCAAACAGTTTGTGACACCCAAAGTAGCCAAAAAATTGACAACACTACCTTATTTCAATTCTAACAAAGACGTGTTGCAAATCTTTTGGCTACTTTGGGTGTCGCGAACTACATATTTGACGCTGACTGTACTCGAAAGTACATGCGTAGTCGCTCTACATCAATTCAGTTTCCAAGAAATCGAAGCCTATTTTATTTATTTCATTTACTGACATCGTATGTCGTAGAATATCGTAAACTTCATTACAATATTATGTATGTCATAACTTACCAAATTCTAATTTATCATACCAAATTAAAGCATTATCAAGCAATTTTCTTTTAAAATCAAAAAGTACAGTCGACGACACATCATACCTTGCATTTTGTCGCAAAATAACTCTGTAGTGTTTTCTTAAAAATAACTAGGATTAGTATTTAATTCGAGTCGCAACTCCTTCAATGGCATTTCCGACTTTGTAGAAAGTTTTTCTTTCTGGAGCTGCATCGAGCAAAATGAACGGATTGCAGTTCGAAGTTAGACTGATCTTTCGAGGATGTCTACTATGTCCAGTCTTAAATGGAGAGGATGTCTCGAAGTTTGTCTCGAACATTCGAACCAGGTGCGGTTTGAAATAGTGCAGCTGTTGTACAGTTACGTCACTTTTTTTAAAAGAACAGATTGAAAAATCTCTACAATTGTACAGTCACGGAATGAAAAGGTTCGTCAGTTTTCAAATTGATTCCTTCAACGAATCGCGAGCACATATTACCTTTTGAAACTATGTTACAGAATAATCTCGAAGTTAGAGAAAATAATCTTTAACTGTTCGTCAGTAAAGTTCAAAATTATTCAGATCAAAGTTGTTTGACGATTTATCTTGTCAAGAAGATTATTATGATTGATAAACTAAAACCTTCTTGTTGGTTCAAACTGCCATTATTATTTCTTTTAAATAAAAAAAACTATTGTCAATTGGTCAATGTCATCATTGCATTGCACTGATGGGATAGAAAAATAAACAAGCAAAACCTTATTCGTTAGCAAACGTCATATTTATTTAAATGTTAGCAGCACTGTTTCTTGCACTGTTATGTTGGCAGGTTTGACTCTCACAGTACCTATTAGTGCAAGCGAAAACCGACACTAAGGTGACGAACCTTTTCATTCCGCGACTGTACAAACTTTCATGGTCACTAACAGATTAATTGTATTATTGACAAGATTGCTATACCATGTTACCTTAATTTCGAGTTTCCGATATTTCGGCACTGTTGCAAGCGCCATGATCACGGAGTAACTGCAACAGTGCCGAAATACTTATCGGAAACTCGAAATTAAAGTACATGGTAGCAATCCCGTCAATAATAAAATTATTCTGAACAATCTCTGGTATGAAATCGAAGTCTATGTATATCCAGTGTTAAATGGAGGAAGATGTCGAGCAGTTTAATTGTCTCGAACATTCTAGCCAGGTGCGGTTTGAAACAATGCAGCTGTTGTACAGTTACGTCACAATTTATTATTTTGTTAAGACAATAATAAGATTGTTATTTTGGTTTCAAAGTTTATTCAGAAGGAACCCACCCTTAACACAAGCTTATAGGTATTTGGTGGCGCCCACCCTTAACTCCGATCGGTACATAATGCAAAACGTGTATAGCACCGGTGATACATCCATTAATGCACTTTGCTTACTTAATGGCCGCTAAAATGGAAATGTGGTAAATGGCGTTTTCAATTTGTGACTTTTATGCGTCAGTAAGTATACATTAAAGTTAAACTATAACATTAGTATAATAATAATCGTATAATCTTAACTAAGGGCTTGTCCCAGTGAAATCCAGTTTTGCGGTATCCAGTAATGCAGGACCCATGTCAAATGTCATTGGTTGTTTGAAATTCGAACTAATCAGTTTTTTTCGGGATACTGCAAACGGGATGTTCGTGTGAATGTTTATATTAGAACACGAATACTAATAAACGGGATCCTGCAAAAAACGGGATGTCTCCGTGAGAACAAGCCCTAAGACTTTTAATTGCTATGACCTTTGATAGGTTTTGATTTGATAGAATCTGTACTCCTTTAATGTGCATAATCCCAAATTTAATTTCTTTATTCATACGGCTCTTTTTAGGGGTTTTACCAGATAATTTACCTAAACACCAAAATTTAGTTAAAAAGTTGGCACGACTGAGAATCGAACCCGGCACTTTCTCCAATCTAGTCTGTCAGACTGTCAGCGAGCCCTGGATCAAAAAAATAGTCTTAGTGCTATTTTTAGGTTAAAATTTCCCTTATCTTCAAATTGAATTAAAATCCAGACCTAAATTCTACGAAATTATTCTCAGACCTTTATTTCAACTAAAGACTTTATCATAACGGTTCCCCGAATTTGGTTGAGTGAGTTAAATTAATTGAATTAATGAACAAAACAAGCCTTGCAAAGCTGTAAACCATTTCATCTTGATTTGGGACTAAATTAACAGCTTAAAGACTTTTGTTTTTGTGGTTATAATCAAAAACGTCTCTATTTTAAGATCATTTAGGCTTAGAATAACAATAGAGCGCAGGTTTGATATCGGTTTCAAATAGCATTCAAAAATAAAAGAAAATTAACGTATTACGAGTAATTTAAAACTTCGAGACAATAAGGTTAAAACCTTTTTGGTCTCAAAATAAAAAATAAGGCATCATCAACCGTCATCTATTTTTTTAAACGGACATTTAATTCTGGATTTATTTAATTGAATAATATTAATTACTTGATTATAAGGACGTGTCTAGGTTATTTCCAGTTTAAATAAGTACGTAATTCATTGATGCTACGTGTCATGGACTCGTGGTTTGGTTAGGATGCTCGTTAAAAAATTAATATTATCTGCCTACTACAACGATCTTAAATAAAGTTAATCTAATAAAAAAATATTAAATAACTAACCTTTTTGTTTGCCATGTCCTCGACCTCTGTGGTGATCAATGTATTTTTAAACACACTCCTGTCCTGTTGCCAAAACCAGCCAGTGTTTTCCTTGAATTGTGTCCACTTTCTTTACTTAGCTTATCAGCCTACACAGCATAGATAACGCACTCGATCAACGTCCAGGAGTTCCTAATAAAAAACTGCAATCGCTCATCTTAACTGATTGCCACCGATCTGTCAACACTGTCTCTATCTACAATGTAAAACCTCCATGTTGCGTCGCACAGAACGTTCGAAAAGCAAAACTGTTTTTGAATTTTCAAATTTCCGAAAGTGGAACGAGTTTGTTTGGTTTTGTCAAAACAGAGTTTATTTTTATTTGCGAAAAATCGAATGGTCTACAATGAGTACTGGCAGGCAGATTCCGCCATTTTTACTGGGTGGCCACGCATGCGCGCTGTCCCAAGATTCTCACACATGCGCTTTGTAAGTGCGGCATTAAAAATTAAAATTGGCATTGTTTTGGTTGGTCTTCTTATGAAAAATTAACGCTAAAACCGCTTCCATTCCAGGATGAGGGAAAAACAAAGGTCTTTTGTAGAAGCAACAGTTTATCTGACAAGAATAACATTAATTAATTTGGATAAAACCTTCTCTGTATTAGGTTTCTTGTTTCATTCCTGCATTTTCAGTCGCTAATTAACAACACCTTAGTTCGCGTTACACACGATTTCAATGATAAAATTAGTACATTAAATATCGTTTCTTCATATGATTTGACCTGGAAGTAGTCCGTGGCAAAAATAAACTAAGAATTGAATTCGGAAAACCGTGTTCTTGCGTTACATCAGACAACTCCGAGTCTCCGACTAACAAAATGATTTAATTTGGGTAAGATCAGTCGCCAGGCAAGCGAAAGGTCGTGGGTTCAATTCCCGCTTGAGGCAATATTTATTTTTTAGGTAAGAAAAAATACGTTTTTCTTTTGATAAATATTCTCAGGTATTACTTAGGTAGGTAACTTTATAATTCAGTAAGCCAACACACATTTAGCAGTTTTACAAGTATTTCAGGCACTTTCATGTTGTACAAAGAAATGATAATATCTTAAAAGTTATGACGGTTAGAAATTATTTATCTACCTACAAACATCCTGCCTGTTTCTATTTCAGACTATACTCGTAGGCTAAGGGTCTCATATCTTGGTACATTGACAGCATCAATCGGCGGAAGAGGTGCCACCAGGTGACGGCATCAGGAACCAGGACGATAACGTGTTTTATGTGCCGATGGTGTTATTGAAATAGGCATAAAAGTAGTTTTTTATGTTGGGAAATACCAGAGAGATGTATCGGAGACATGGCATATTTTTGTTATTGCTGAAGAAAGCTATGTATGTAATGTACGAAGTCGAAAGTCAAAAATGTCTTTATTTAATTCTAAACTGGACCGCAAAGAAAAAGAGTCGGTTAAAAAAATCTTCAATATCTTCATATCCAACGTAGCTTTGTTAATTAAGACAATTGATTCCAGCTTTTAATTTTTTGTAAAATAAATAAAAATGCGTATTAGTTTTTCCAGTATGTTTTGAAGATTTTCTAATCGACCCTTTTTCCTAGGGGCTCAGTTACTTATGTTAGACGTGATAAAAGTATTATAGCAAATCTTCAATTTTTTACAGTAATTTAGTTTACTCAATCTTTTACAAAATAGACAATTTATGATAATATCTTTACCAAGAACTGGAAGTCTTCAAAATTCTATTCAAAATCATGCACGACTAAGATCCGCTTTTGATTGGTTTCATTTTAGAAGTTAAATCTAATTTTACAATAAATATCCCTGAAAAGTGCTTAATTGTGCCTACCCTTTTCAAGGATAAAATTAGGAGTTCTTGAGAGCTTTAGTTACGTGTTAGACAACTACCTACTCAATTTAGAAGATCACTCAAATGATTTATTTAAACTAACAAATAATAGTTGTTGCAATTCACGAAGGCGAGTGAGCTTTGTACCACATAAAGTGTGGGTGGCTCCCTACTGTTCATTTTTCAAAACAGACATTACACTATCGTTATATGCATGTACACGTACACATACAAGTAAAGCTCACTCGCCTTCGTGAGTTGCAAGAACTATACCTAAATTCGTATTTCGAATTCCAATTCGAAAGCATTAAGAATACACTTCCAGATCCGCTTTTGTTATTCCAACCGACGGAGTTACGTCAAAATTCTTTCATCTCCACTTTGGGGCGCTTTTTAAAGGACACCGCAAAGATTCCCGGCTAGTCCTGTAATTCCAGACGTCAGACGTACTTGTTGTGGGAAAGTGGGAACAAAAACGCAGACACAAAGGTGGGAAGCCGCAGCTGTCCCTTTGAGACAAGGGTCTAGCTGAACACGGATTAAAACGCTTTAATTATTGCGAAACTATTTTTGAACGCCCCAAATAACTTGGTGGGAATTTTAAACGAGCGAATTTAGTAATGGAAGGATGGTTTTATATAAATTAAACCATTTTTTCCAGTTAAATTCGACAGCCACTTTTGTAGTTTTAAAATCGCCTTCTTTATCTAAACTACCCACTAAGTATGTACCTACCTTCTAACAATAAAATTGTAGAGTAGAGCATCAACACAGCCAAAATGCTTTTAAATAGGTTAAAATGTTGTAGCTGATACGACCCTCATCGTACAACAACTTAACCATTTAACACAACCCATCGTGCTTAAATCGCACCAAAAACTTTAATTACACTTATTTACTCTTGTTACATCGGTACCAATTAGTACCAAATTAGTACTAACCCTTGACGGTTGAACTGCGTCAAAAACCCTTAACCCTCCGTGGTCCCGCATGTTTGAACTAGTTCGCGCGTATAGTTCCGATGTAATTTGTCGCGAAAGCTGTGTCAGTCTCCCGAGGACGGAGTTGTTGTGTCCGTTTAATTCCTTTTTCATTTTAATGAGTATGAAAGCCGCTTTGACTTTGAAGGTTAAATGGCACTTTTGATGTACAGTCACCGTTTAAATGTGAAATCGTAACAAAGTTAATACATTTATTTTGTTTGACTAAAGACATATTCGACATATCTCACGTTGTATTTTAAACCGAGCTCACAATAATTAATGGAGACATTATTATCAGAACAATACTTATTAGAAAGACCGTCAGAAAGTCTAGATATTTAGATTTTACCAAAAATACCATTAACTTTAAATAAAGTCAGCTGGCTCACAATATACCTACCTAATCAGAGATGCAACATTTAATTGCCTACTTACTGAATCTAATCTAATAAACTCAAAGGTGACTGACTGACTGACTAACATAGTGATCTATCAACGCACAGTCCAAACTACTGGACGGATCGGGCTGCTGGGCGAAATTTGGCATGCAGGTAGATGTTATGACGTAGGCATCCTCTTAGAAAGAATTTTACGAAATTCTACCCTTATGGGAGTAAAACGGGTTCCACGTGTACGAAGTCGCGGGCGGCCGCTAGTTAAAAATAAAATAAAAGCCGTGTATCAGTGCAAAGTAGTAAATATTTGCTTAGCAGTCGGTAGGCGGCAACCGCCCGCCGTATATCAGCCGGCGGAAACGGGCGTCGTAGGGCGGAAGCTAGATACCCATACACGGATACATGAGAATTTTTACTATCTTATAATACTCATACGGTACCGAGTGGATGAAAAATCGATGTGGTAAATAAGTACCTACCTGCAAATTCGGCCGTTTGGTGTAGTGGTTCGAATCGGACTACTATTCCGGAGGTTGCGGGTTCGATTCCCGCACAGTACAAACATTTGTGTGCATGAACATATTTGTTTGTATTGGACTGGGTGTTTTCTATGTATAATATGTATGTATTTACAAAAAAAAAAGTATTTAAGTATGTTTATATCCGTTGTCTAGTACCCATAGTACAAGCTTTGCTTAGTTTGGGGCTAGCGGCGCAGTGTAAAATGTCCAAGCATATTTATTTATTTATATTTAAATAAATGAACACTTGGCACTTACAGGTAAATGAATGTCGATAACACCTCGAAGTAGCAAAATAACATTAATTACAATTTCCGTAAAATGTTACAGTTTTTGTACTTAGTTGTTGTGCTGACACGTCGTTTGGAAGCACCAAATAGAGCTGACTCTATGATTTACTACTATGATACTGATTGTTACTAACGCTTCCATTGACAATGTGACTCTTTCAACTCGGAGAATCAGTGTTCGATGCCCATGAAGGTAAAATGAGTTTACCTTCCCAATTTGTAAAATTAAATCAACCTGATTTTCCGATAATGAAATTTAATAAGATTCTGTGCCTCGTAAGCGCGACTTGATTGACTTTGGGAGCTAATAAAAACGGATTTTATTGTTGATATTAGTTAATTAGTCACATGCAAATACAGATAAATAAACGTCTTTGTCGATCTGTAAATTAAAACGAAAACTACAGAAATAACTGATTTCACTCGCAAAGTATTTTCAGAAGTAATATAGTTACTCGTTTTTACGTGTGTTGGAACTGAAACGGTATTATTTTAAAGAACTTACTTTAATTAAGCAATGGCCAGACTGACGTTATTCCGAATTGAGCGCCATTTCATGGAAAGTTTCGTGATAAAACCTTCAAATCATTAAACTTCTACAGTAATTATCTAGAAGTGATTCATTTTCATAATTATAACACTGTAAAGTTAATTTTATATTTTGCTGCGATTAAGTCTGATGGTTACAGCGTCCCTCTATTAAAAACTTAATATAAGTATAAAATTTAGGTAGGAAAAAGTACCTTGACATTTTAAAAGTACGATCCCATAGTGATATACCTATTTTTTTTTATTCATAACGAGGAAGCTCTGCTATGCTCTATGAGGCTTGTATCTCACCTGATGCTAAGTGACGATAAGGCCGAAGGTGGAAGCGAGCTTCACCCGCATCCTCAACCACAGAGGAACTGGCTATCTTACCTCTAACTGCCGGAACACAACAATGCTGTTAACATTGTTGTTATGGCGACAGACTTAGGTAAAAATTATAGTCATAATCAAAATTACTGAGCACTAATATACTTTTTGAAGTTTATTTTTCTTTTTATACTGGTGTGTACTAGCCAGCGCGGGGAGTGTAGGCCAACTCCTCCATTTGAAAATGAAAATGAAAATATTTATATTGCCAGATCAAGTAATACAAAAACAAAAGGATTAGAGAGGGTCCTGCTTGCTCCTGTAGATACACTATAATAACATCGTAATTATACTCTTTTAGATCTTTATTTACGCTGTGTAAAAGTTAATTGCTAGAGCCAAATCACACGATGTATTGCGGCGCTGTACCGCAATGATTTCGCCGTGACCACACCACACCACAGATAATTTTATACGTTGCT